CTCTCTCTCTCTCTCTCTCTCACTCACTTCTACCCCCTGTGCACAGGTGTCTGTCCATTGGGCGGCCGTAAGCCTTCAGCCCGATGTAAGTCGTGTTGGTTGAAAGTTTGTTTGCAACACTTTCATATCGATCGTCACCTGAGAAACACCGTTTGCAAGACATTTGCCCCCAAAAAGACTACGCGCGACCACTAATTATCATGTGATGGTAGGTTTGTGTCCATAACCCCCGCATAACACTCCCACTGACCTTAACCTACCATATAGTGGTCATCGAAGCGGATCCGCGGCCACAAAACCGCCCTTTTTTGGTGACAGCAATGGTTTGTCGTTGAGATCAATGCAGAGATGGAGTGATAATTATATGGATAGCTATGAATACAGACACGAGTTTTCTATACATTTATTTTTTGTTATTAAAATCAACGATTTTTGAATGCCATTCAATGACTGCCATAAAGTATTTATCAATTTAAAGTAACTTTAATATTGAAATTAATTAATTAATTTGTTGATTAAGTGATAAACTCTTTAATAAAATCATGAAATAAAAATTAACATTTTCTCAAGTTTTGAGTTATTTTTACCAATAATTTATTAATTGCCAAAAATTAATGTAATATAAAATGTTTACGTAATTCAGAGACAATCCCTTCGCTTCTCATTTGGTTTGAGTTTTGTTTACATTTTTTGATTCAATTGTTGTTTAGTTTTGCACTTAATTTGGATTCAAATTAATTGTGAATTAGTTTTAAATGTGTTTATGAATTGAATTATGGATTCAATTATTCATATAAACGATATTTTGGATGAATTAATGAATGAAAACAATAGACTTTTAAATGAAATCCAATGTTTGAATGAAATGAAAACACATTTAATTAAAATTCACTCAAAATATGAAACACTTATCGATTCAGAAGACAATCAACACTTCCGGACATTATCTCAAACTTTAGATCAATTGAGTGACCAAAACAACACTTCATGTGATAATAAAATGCAATTCATTTATGGATCTGATATACGACTGAAGAGTCCATCAAATGATCGACAAATGAGACAAAGAAATGAAACACAAGAAGTGAATCAAAGTATTGAAGACATAAAAGTGGAGACAAATGAAGACTCGGAACCGAAGAGTTGCCGAAAGAAACGGAAATTAAATACAAATAAACGTAAAAACAGTGAATCGAAGGAAACAATTGATGAGACCATTGGAGACAACACTTGCGATCACATGAAGACTGAATTTGAAGACCAAATGAAGAGTCCATCAAATGATCAACAAATGAGACCAACGGATGAAACACTAGAAGTGAATCAAAGTATTAATGATAACAACAATGACGTGAATGAAGACATGTTTGCCATCAATGGTCTGGAGTTGGGAACCGTTATCAAAGAAGAACCCGAAGATTACTCTATGGAACCGATTAATACACAATTCATTAATAAATCGTCAATAAGTTTAATGAATACAGAAATGCAAACACAAGTGAACAGCACTTCAAAGCCATCGACATCTCAATCATCACAAGAGATGGTAAACATAGACTCGAATGCAGAGACTAATGAAGACTTGACGGAAATATCATTAATTGAATCGATGTCTCAATTCTTGTGTAAAAATAAGTCCGAAAGACAGAAATGCTTTGATTTAAATACAAATGCATTCATTTGTCCCATAAATGAGTGTCACATGTGTTTCCAAACGGACAACAACTTTGTTAAGCATTTCTATAGAAAACATACTTCAAAACAATACACGTGCACTCATGAGGGCTGTGGTAAAGCCTATAAAACAATAGATGGTTTAAAAAAACATGTATTGGTTCACAAAAATATCAAATCATTTCATTGTCCACACAATGGCTGTCAATACAAAGCCAGTTGTAATGAAGAGTCCATCAAATGATCAACAAATGAGACCAACGGATGAAACACAAGAAGTGAATCAAAGTATTAATGATAACAACAATGACGTGAATGAAGACATGTTTGCCATCAATGGTCTTGAGTTGGGAACCGTTATCAAAGAAGAACCCGAAGATTACTCTCTGGAACCGATGAATACACAACTCATTAATAAATCCTCAATAAGTTTAATGAATACAGAAATGCAAACACAAGTGAACAGCACTTCAAAGCCATCGACTTCTCAATCATCACAAGAGATGGTAAACATAGACTCGAATGAAGACTTGACGGAAATATCATTAATTGAATCGATGTCTCAATTCTTGTGTAAAAATAAGTCTGAAAGACAGAAATGCTTTGATTTAAATACAAATGCATTCATTTGTCCCATAAATGAGTGTCACATGTGTTTCCAAACGGACAACAACTTTGTTAAGCATTTCTATAGAAAACATACTTCAAGACAATACAAGTGCACTCATGAGGGCTGTGGTAAAGCCTATAAAACAATAGATGGTTTAAAAAAACATGTATTGGTTCACAAAAATATCAAATCATTTCATTGTCCACACAATGGCTGTCAATACAAAGCCAGTTGTGAGGAATATTTGAAACGACATCTGAAGAGACACTCAACGGATAAAGTCTTGAGATGTGATGTCAATGGATGTGATTATAAGACCTGTCATAACGAGTATTTGTCAAAACACATGAAAACACATCACAACATAATTAAATCATATGAATGTCATTATAACGGCTGTCAATATAAATGCGTTAACAATAAGTTATTGACATCACATCTGAAGACACACTCAACAGTAGGAATAGTTGAAGTGAGCACATGTACTGTCAGTGACTGTCAGACGGCACTCTTGAATGTCTACCGTTTGACACACGGGTCCGAACCCATCATCACGTGTGGGGTCGACGGCTGTAATTATATGTCTCATACGTATTCCCAACGCGTGAGACATCGGGTGTCGGTTCACAGCCGACGGTCGCATAGCTATCGCAGAGGAAAACAATGTGAATGGAAGGCAAAAACAACGACACAAGAAGTGATGCAAACAATGCGTGACAACACTGAAGGAGTAAATGAAGACATGTTTGACAACAACAGCAAACCCGTGGAAACCAGACTTATTGTCGGCAAATCCCAGAGCTTGGAGTTGAAGTGTGGGGTCACTGACTGTCAGATGATATTCGCATCAAAAGAGGATTTGTATAAACATTTAGATAAACACATGAATGATCTCGAGTTGAGATCAGTTGTCTGTGAAGAACCCGAAAATAATTGTGTGGAACCATTGAATACAGAAATGGAAACACTATTGAACAGCACTTCAAAGCCATCGACATCTCAATCATCACAACAATTGGTGGTAAACGAAGACATAAATTGAAAGACTAGTGAAGACTCGTCTCATTTGTTATAATAGTTGCGAAACGGATACTAGTTTTTACAAAAGACAATAGTGTGCACTCACGAGGGCTGTGGTAAAGGCTTTAATACCAAATACAGTAGTTTTAAAACACATCTGAAGAGTAATCTAAAAATAGATTACTATAACAAAATGTTTAAATGTGTTATCAATGGCTTTGGGTATCAACGCTTGAGTGACAACTGTTTCGGACAACATATGAAAACACAATACAATTGTATAATCAGTTTTTATAAATTATAATTTATTTTTTATTTAAATATCAAACGAGATGTTTATATAAATTAATTAATCATTATATGTATTACTCTTAAGAATTTATATTACACTTAATTAAATGATTTTAATTCGTATAAATGTTGAATTCAATAGATTTGATGTAATCTTAAAATAATCTTATGTTTATTAAACAACATTTAAAATTTTAATTTTCAATTTAAACCATTTATTTATAATTACCTTTTGTGTAAAAGTTATGTAAAAATTGTTTACGTAATTAATAGACATTCCCTTCAATTCTCTCTTGTTTACATTTTTTGATTCAATTGTTGTTTAGTTTTGCACTTAATATGAGTTTCAACTGAAGAGTCCATCAAATGATCAATAATTAGATGAAACACAAGAAGTGATCCAACAATGGATGACAACAACCAACACGTGTTTGAGAGCCCAGTCTTCAGGTGTGGAGTCACTGACTGTCAGATGATATTCACATCAAAACAGCATTTGTTTCAACACTTGGATCAACACATGAATGATCTCCACTTGGGATCAGATGTCAAACAAGAACCCGAAGATAATTGTGTGGAACCGATGGATATGGAAATGCAGACACTATTGAACACCACTTCAAAGCCATCGACATCTCAATCATCACAAGAGATGGTAAACAAAGACATGAATGGGAAGAGTAGTGAAGACTCGATGGAAATGACATCAAAACAATCGATGTCTGAATTCTTGAGACAAAATAAGTCCGAAAGAGAGAAATGTTTTGATAGGACTTTTAATGCATTCATTTGTCCCATAAATAAGTTCCACAAGAGTTTCCAAAAGGATCAACACTTTCAGCAACATTTGCAGAGGACTCATACCACAAGACAATACATCTGCACTCATGAGGGCTGTGGTAAAGGCTTTAATACAGCGGACATTTTGAAGAGACATCAAGTGATTCACAAAGATATCAAATCATTTCATTGTCCACACAATGGCTGTCAATACAAAGCCAGTTGTGAGGAATATTTGAAACTACATCTGAAGAGACATTCAACGGGTAAAGTCTTGAGATGTGATATCAATGGATGTGATTATCACACCTTTAATAACGATTATTTGTTGCAACACATGAAAACAAAGCACAACATAATTAAATCATATAAATGTCATTATAACGGCTGTTACTATAATTGCGTTACCAATAAGTTATTGTTAACACATCTGAAGACACATTCAACAGTAGGAATAGTTGAAGTGAACAGATGTCTTGTCAGTGACTGTCAGATGACATTCTTGACGAAGAGTGAGTTGAATGTCCACCGCTTGACACACGGGTCCGGACCGGCCATCGAGTGTGGGATCAAAGGCTGTAATGAAATATTTTATACGTTTTCCCAACGCCTGAGACATCGGGTGTCGGTTCACAACCGACGGACGTATAGCTATCGCAGAGGAAAACAATGGTTTGAATATAAGGAGAAAACAGAGACACAAGAAGTGATGCAAACAGTGGATGACAACAACGAAGGAGTAAATGAAGACATGTTTGACAATAACAGCAAACGCGTGGAAACCAGACTTATTGCCGGCAAACCCCAGAGCCTGGCGTTGAAGTGTGGGGTCACTGACTGTCAGATGACATTTGCATCAAAAGAGGATTTGTATAAACATTTAGATAAACACATGAATGATCTCGAGTTGGGATCAGTTGTCTGTGAAGAACTTGAAAATAATTGTGTGGAACCAATGAATACAGAAATGGAAACACTATTTAACGGCACTTCAAAGTTATCGACATCTCAATCATCACAACAATTGGTGGTAAACAAAGATATGAGTGGAAAGAGTAGTGAAGAATCTAATGAACAGCCAATGAGAGCAACACATGAAGTGATGCCAAGAATATATGACACCATTAAAGGTTTGGATGGCGTGTCTCTGTTTAGATGTCTTGCAAGCGATTGTCTGATGATATTGGGATCAATTGATGACTTGTCTAAACACTTAGATCTTCATATATTTGATCCGACCATTGAGTGCGGATACGAGGGATGTATTGATATGTTTCACACGAGAAACCAATTAAACAAACATTGGCTGAAGACTCATAGCCTGAATACGATTGTCTGTAAGGATCAAAGTCTGGAGTTGGGATCAGTTAGTAAAGAAGAACACGAAGATAATTGTGTGGAACCGTTGAAGACAAAGACAACTAATATGTCTGAATTATTGCCACCGAATACGTCATCGATATCTCAATCAGCAGAAGAGACTGTTCTTCCAGTGATGTTAGACGAAGACATGAGTGGAAACAGTAGTGAAGACCCGATGGAAATGATATCATATGAATCGGTGTCTCAATTCTTGCAGAAAAATAAGTGCCAAAGAGAGAAGTGTTTTGATTTAACGGCGAATGGATTTATTTGTCCCATAAATAAGTGCCACGAAATATACGAAACTGATATAGGATTTCGACAACACCTGAGAGTTCACGGAAACAAATTGAATAGTTTTATTGAGTTTAAAACCTATGATAACATCATTGAAGCAAATGTTTGTTCAACTAATTCAAAGCCATCGACATCTCAATCATCGCAAGAGATGGCAAACAATGATATTATCGGAAACAATAGTGAAGACTCGACTGAACCGATCCATAGATTGTTGAGATATAGGAGCGAAAGAGACAAATGCTTGGATTTAACCACAAATGCGTTTATTTGTCCAATAAATGATTGCAACCAGTGTTACCGCAAAGACGTCAACTTTTATAAACATTTATACGAATTTCACGCCCAAAGACAATGCCAGTGCACTCATGAGGGCTGTGGTCAACACTTTAAGACAATCCATGATTTGAAACAACATTTATTAACACACAGTATAAAGCGATTGTAAAACCGATAGAAAAGACATGTTTTTTAGTCATTATTAGTATAAATATTGTAAATAAAGTTTTTTAATAAATAATATTAATTATATTACTATTAAATTTGTAATTATTAAATACTTTTAGTTATTAATTGTGATTACAATTAGAGTACAATTTGTACGTAATTTATAGACAATCCCTTCACTTGTCTTGTATTTTGAATTTTTTGTTTACATTTTTTTTTATTCAATTGTTGTTTAGTTTTGCACTTAATATGAGTTTCAACTGAAGAGTCCATCAAATGATCAATAATTAGATGAAACACAAGAAGTGATCCAACAATGGATGACAACAACCAACACGTGTTTGAGAGCCCAGTCTTCAGGTGTGGAGTCACTGACTGTCAGATGATATTCACATCAAAACAGCATTTGTTTCAACACTTGGATCAACACATGACTGATCTCCACTTGGGATCAGATGTCAAACAAGAACCCGAAGATAAATGTGTGGAACCGAAGAATACAGAAATGCAGACACAAGTGAACAACACTTCAAAGCCATTGACATCTCAATCATCACAAGAGATGGTAAACAAAGATATGAATGGGAAGAGTAGTGAAGACTCGGTGGAAATGCCATCAAAACAATTGATATTTAAAAGCAAACAAAAGTGTTGTCTGAATGACAGTAAAGTGTTGACCAAAAGCGAGACATTTATCCGACACTTAAACCATAAAACAGAGAAACAGATTCATTGTCTACACAATGGGTGTCAATACAAAAGCATTTCTAACAATGATTTCATACAACACTTGAAGACACACTCAGCCGATGACTGCGAGACACCGCGAGTTAGAGAACGCAATCGGCTGTTGAAGATATTGAGTGATCTTCAAAGCCAGTCGTCGGCACCGGTTGTCAAACTGACGGACAAAAAAATACAAATACATACAGCGCTGCCAATGGCCCGGATGTCAGTATATGGGTTCACAACTGAATAGACATAAACTGATTCACAACAAAGTGAGGCCACACGCGTGCCATTGGCCACAATGTGGCAAACGGTTTAACACTAAAAGTGGTCTCAAACTTCACACAAATATACACAACAATATTAAGCCATTTGCGTGCGATTTACCCGATTGTGGCCAACGGTTTGTCACTAAATTTCAACTCAATCTTCACACTAATAAGCACAACAACTTCCGGCCAATTGCCTGCGATTGGCCCGAATGTGGCAAACGGTTTACCACTAAAGATTTGCTTAAATATCACGTGAATATTCATAATAACGTTAAGCCATACGCGTGTGATTGGCCCGCGTGTGAGTATCGGACCGCTTATCAGCCGAGTGTTTGGTCACATAAAATACAAACCCACAAAATGTACCCAACAATGCACAACGGGGTGGCCAACGGGACGATACAATACCCGTGCGATTGGCCTGAATGTGGTCAACAGTTTACTAATAAGCAAACACTCAAATATCATATTAATGTCCACCAAAATGTTAAGCCTTATGCTTGCGATTGGCCGGAATGTGAGTACAGGTCAGCCAATCCGGGCAGTCTTTATACCCATATAAAGTATGTCCACAAAAAGCATGTGCACACCGGCGGCGGCGCCCATAAAAATAAAAAACTGTTCGCGTGTTTATTCCCCGAATGTGGCAAACGGTTTGCCTCTAAACCGACGCTCACTGACCACATGAATGTCCACAACAACGTCAAGCCGTATGCCTGCGATTGGCCTGAATGTGAGTTTAGGACACACTATGCGCCTAATGTTCGGCTCCATAAAAAACATGTCCACAAAATATAATCATAATTGTAATTATAATTGTATTTAATGTTCAATATATATATATATTTTCATAAATAAAAATTTAGTAATTGTATAATTAATAGCATTTTAATAATTAATAATAACATTGTTTTCATTAAGTCATTAAATTAAAGAATAAATGGTATTAAAATGAGACGATGGCTGTGGAGGTAGTGATCACATGAGTTGATCACTGGTTTGGACGCCATTAACAACAATAATAAACAATTGAATATTTAATTCAATTTTTATATTTATTTAATTTTCATATAAATAGTGTATTTCTTTTAATTTTAATAAAATTACTTATAATTAAAAACTTTGTATTGAAATGAATGATAAAAAATGTTTACGTTATTTATAGACATTCACTTCACTTCTCTATTGAATTGAATTTTTTGTTTACATTTTTTGATTCAATTGTTGTTTAGTTTTGCACTTAATATGAGTTTCAACTGAAGAGTCCATCAAATGATCAATAATTAGATAAAACACAAGAAGTGATCCAACAATGGATGACAACAACGACAACACCGATGAAGACATGTTTGAGACCTCTCTCTTCAGGTGTGGAGTCAGTGATTGTCAGACGATATTTGGGTCCAAAGAGGGTTTGTTTAGACACTTAGATCTTCATATGACTGATCCGACCATTGAGTGCGGAACCGATGGCTGTATTGATATGTTTTGCACTGAAAGCCAACGAAACAGACATCAGATGGAGATTCACAATTTTGTTTACATTTTTTGATTCAATTGTTGTTTAGTTTTGCACTTAATATGAGTTTCAACTGAAGAGTCCATCAAATGATCAATAATTAGATGAAACACAAGAAGTGATCCAACAATGGATGACAACGACGAGGACACCGATGAAGACATGTTTGAGACCTCTCTCTTCAGGTGTGGAGTCAGTGATTGTCAGACGATATTTGGGTCTAAAGAGGGTTTGTTTAGACACTTAGATCTTCATATGACTGATCCGACCATTGAGTGCGGAACCGATGGCTGTATTGATATGTTTTGCACTGAAAGCCAACGAAACAGACATCAGATGGAGATTCACAGCAATAGAGATGATAACAGCGATGGCGTGAATGAAGACATGTGTGACAACTCGTGTGACAGCAATGGTCTGGCGTTGGGATCAGATGGCAGTGAAGACTCTAAAGATTATTGTGTGGAACCGATGAAAGACAAAGCCTTTCATTCAGTGCAAGAGATGGTTAACGAAGACATTCACAGCAAAAGGCAACACATCTGTGATAATGAAAACTGTGGTCAAGAGTTTAGATCGCGTTTACTCTTAAACAGACACTTACTATCCGTTCATAACATCTCTTCGGCGCCAACCGAGAGGTTCGGTGACGACATGAGCGACCATTTGGTGATAGAAATCCTAAGACATAATAAGTCCGAAAGAGACAAATACTTTGATTTCAATACAAAAGCATTCATTTGTCCCATAAATGAGTGCCACAAGAGTTACGGAACTGATAGGATTTTTTATTACCATTTGACAAGAGCTCACGCCTCAAGACAATACGTGTGCACTCATGAGGGCTGTGGTAAAGCCTATAAAGCGAAACAGCATTTAAAAGAGCATTTATTAACACACAATACGATTGAATCGTTTCGCTGTCCACACAATGGATGCGATTATAAAGCCGTTTGTAATAAGCGTTTGAGAAATCACTTGAGACGAGTTAATCACTCAAAAGGATTATCAAAACGCTTAAAGAGAGCGCCGCCGAAGACGACCAGAGAGTGGTTTACCTGTGATATCATTGACTGTCGCCAGACATTCATATCACCCGATGATCTCAAGTCACACACACTTTCACATCGGATCCAATCGAGTGGCGAAGAAGTGGCTATTGATAAGGAGATGGCGTCTAATGAAGCGATGGCTGATATCTTGAGGCAAAATCGGTCCCAAAGACAGAACTATTTTGATTTGACTGTCAATGCGTTTATTTGTCCCATAAATGATTGCCACAAGAGTTACGATACGGACGAGGCGTTTGCCGACCACTTATGGTCTGTTCACTGCGAACGGCCGCACATTTGCGGTCACGAAGGCTGTGGTAAAGCCTTTAAGACAATTAACGCTTTGACCAAACATTTAGAAACTCACAAAACAAAGTCAATTGAATGCAAATATAATGGGTGTCAATACAAATGCATTAGTGATCACTACTTGAAACTACATATGAAATCACATACGAAGACAGCGGACAACAAACCGATATATCGTTATGCATGTGATGTCACCGATTGTCACAAGAGTTATGTCACGTATAGCGGTCTGTTTCTGCACCGCAGGTCACATATGGCTGAACCGGCCTTCAAGTGCGGTGTCGACGGCTGTACGGATGTGTTTCGCACCGGTGGGCAACGGCACAGACACCGGATGGCGGTTCACAATCGACCCAACTATCCGTCCAGACGTGTGCGGCGCTGCGATTGGCCCGGATGTGACTTTGTTGGCCGCCATATGCATAAACACAAACACCGCGGCAAACACACCGGCAGACCCCACGCGTGCGATTGGCCCGACTGTGACAAACGGTATGTGACAGCCCGTGGGCTATCCTATCACACCGTTAGCCACAACATCAACAGTGATAATCAATACACGTGTTATTGGCCCGGATGTGAGTACACGAGCACTAATAGCCGTAACGTTGGCCGACATGTAGATCAAGTGCACACAAAGATCGCGTGGTATTACCGCCGGACACCACGGAAACCTACGGACCGGCAGTTTGTGTGCGACGACTGCGGGAAGCGATTCAAGTCAACACAAGGTTTTGTCGGACACAAGAAGTTACATCAAACAGAACGCTTCCAGGAGTGCGGTGTCGACGGCTGTGCCGATCGTTTTAAGACCAATGGCCAACTCCGTAAGCATCGGGTGACTGTTCATCACTGGTCGCCAAAGCCGCGTATCAACCGACGGATTCGTTGCGATTTGCCTCAATGTGATTGGTTTGGCTTCAATTTGCCTCAACACAAGCGCGTCGTCCATAACGTGGTTCCCGATAAGCGGTGGTTTGTCTGCGATTGGCCCGAATGTGGTAAACGTTATGCCGCTAAGCCTGCGCTCACTGACCACATCAATGTCCATAAAAACTTGAAGCCGTATGCGTGCGATTGGCCCGCGTGTCAGTACAGAGCGGCCCATAAGCCTAATGTTCGTCTTCATAAAAAATATGTCCACAAAATTTGAATTAATTTTAATTGTAAGTAATGTTTAATATTTATTGTTTAATTAAAAGTCTGTTTAATAATTACATAATTAAATGGATTGTTTTTCAGCATTGTTTTTGTTCGTACATAATATGAAGACATAAATGGTATTGAAATGAGACGATGGCTGCGGAGGAAGTTATCACACGAGTTGACCACCGATTATATAAAATTTTATTAATTTAAGTTTACATTTTAATTGAGTTTTAATATAAATATCTAATGTTATGCCTGTGTTGTACAGTCAGTCCAGTCTTCGACTCTCACTTTAGACATGATTTGTTGATTTTATTTGAACTTATATTTTCATTAATTTTCACTGTTTTATTAATTTAATCACATTTTTTATTATATTATAACATTTTTCTAATAAATTGCTTTAAATAAAGTTTTTGTATTTATATTTAAAGTGTTGTTTATTGTAAATTTTGAACAAAACAATAACCGATTAATTTTTGTTTTGTTTTAATTTTATATTTAAAGATTTTTAAATATAAATCACTATTTTATCAGATTATGATGAAAATCAATAAAATATTTTTGTAAGCCTATTATTATTAAACCTTATTTTATTGATTAATATTTTTAAAAGACAATTAATTACAATTGAAAGACAAATGTGTTTACTATAAAATTGCTTCAAATAAAATAACACTGAAATTAAATATTGCAAACAATTTGAAAACAACTAATATTATCGAATATAAATCGGAATAACAGTTGAATTAAATTAGAAATTATCGGTTCAATTGAACAAATGTTGCGACATTTATATAAAATATTGTGTCCTTTTATTTATAATTTTTATATAGAAATACTAATTGTAAATAAATTTAAACAAAAGAGTAGATTAGCTTTCTATTCAAAAATTATAAATATTTTTAAAAAATCAATTATATAAAAGTAAAAGTAAACTATTTAACTGTTGAGAGTTGGGACGCTATCGTATTAGTAGATGTGCCGCTACTGATGGCTGTTCTCTCATGACTAGTAATGATAAGTAGTATTATAACCGCTATAATGAGGACAATAGCCAACACCAGTATAATTATTATCGCTATTTTAGTATTGTTTAGTCCTTCAGTTGGCTGTTCAGTGACTTCTATGACTTTTGTGCAATTAAATGCAATCATTGTATCGTTAGATTTGCACTGAAAAAACACATTACAGCGAAATGTTTCATTTAAATTAATGTTTATAATCATTGAAAACCTGTAGCGAGAGATTCATGCCTTCGGGTGTAAAGCAATACATGGGCTGTCCATCGATATTGAACCACAACATATGACCCGCCGTTTTGTTGGTCACCTCGTAGTCGACAATACCCTCCAGTTTGGGCATCAATTGGTCGGGTATTTGAGCGACAAATACCGGTGTCTGACAGTCAACCGGATTGCAATCGCTTTGACTTATATTTTCCACGTATAGCTTGTAGTTCAGGTGTTCCCTAACAAACAATACCTCCTCTGAACGGGTATTTGTGTTCAAAACAACGACATAACTGTTGTTCACATCTTTGCGACCGACTGTCGCACTGAAGGCAACGCCCCGTATATTATAGAAATTACTTCTAACGGGAGAGCCCACGGCTCTGACCGTACAGTCAGTATCATATCTTTCAGGCTATAGGTTGGGAAACAACTAACTTTAAGTACAGACATTGTATATGTGTATGTAATGTGAAATATTACTATATTGGGTAATTGGTGTTCCAAGATAATAGTTGAACAGTTGTACGACTCTATAATTTTGTTTATTACTGTTAGGCCTGAGAATTTGTTAATGGGCTGCGGATTAAGCTCTTCATATCGTGAGCCATCAATTGATACCCGAACATGGCTTTCATTGTTTGCAACTATTTCTATCCTGAAGTCCCACTCTTTGCTTTTTGAATACATTTTATGGGTCGATATCAACGAAATTGGATCCCAATATCTGTATAGTCTGATGCCATTGTAAGTGCCGTTTGAATACATGTATTGACAAATGTCTGAACACTCGATGCAATGGATCCACAAAAATATAATTGAAATTAATAACATTTTGTTTGACTCAAACAATAATTCAATGATTTATTAATAATTAAATCTAAGATCTAAATGAATGTCAAAACCAGTGAAAAAAGGTTGTAAATTACAATTAAAATAGTAAATTGAATAACATTTTTGAATATTTTAAAAGTCTCGAGAAATGTATATAAAATATGGTTTAAATTTATTGATAACTACAGTAATTTGTATTAAAAATAAAAGAGAATTAATATTTATGCAAATCAAAATATTAGCAATATTTTTCTGTACATTTTAAATCTGAA